CCAGCCTCTGTCCCTGGCCTCGAGGAGAGACGCGGACGCGTGTCGGCAGCGATCCTTGCCGTGTAGCTTTCCCAAGGAGCAGGCATGCCAAAGCCTTCAAAAATCCCATTGGAAAAGGCCTCTTCCCTTTTTCTCATCGTGTTGTTGGATCGGCAAGTCGGCACTTATTACGAGCTGGACTGACGTGGAATTGCTTGTCTAAGTTGCCGAAACAAAAAATGTTGTTCCTGTCGTATTAAGATGCCAGAAAACAGCCTCGCGAGCCCTTTCCAAGACCCCTATCTCTCAGGCTGAAGGATACTGTCTCTCGATTTCTTTTCAACGCCCGGCTCGTCTTGCAGTTTGTGGCAGGAGCATGCTCCCATCTGAATTGTCTCTGGTCCTTATCAGATCTCCGTGATGTGGTCTTGGATGTTCTGTTTTATTTTTAATGGCAGATTTGCCCTGATTGGGCTGCATTTTCACAGCTGCACAGCTCCGGAGAGCTAGGGAGAGGGCAGGCAATCAGCTGCAGAAAGACTCGTTCTTTCTTTCTCAGGCAGCACAAATCCTGCCGGAGGGGTGAGCAGGCAGGATTTCCTTCAGGCAGGTCCCGGAGCCCCAGGAATTTTGATTTTCAATTGTAGCGGGTCGAATTTGATTTTTTTACTTATCAGCTCTTGAAGGGGAAGCAGAAAGGGGAAAGTAATGACTTTGGGGCTGTAACTTAGCCCTGCAATAGCACAGACCTGTGGCTTTTCAGGGATTTGCTTTTGCTGAGCCACGATGAAAGACAGGGTGCTGGTGCAGTCTTTGCTGGGCCAATTGTATTCTTGTTGAGGAGCCAGAAGATCCCTCTGCCTTTAGGATGTGTTCTCCTCCAGGCTCTTTCTCCAAGAAGCACTGGTAGAGCTGGATCTTTTTTCTTTTTTTCCTCTATTGGCTGCGAAGTCTCTTCTGTTTCATTTGACCGGCTCTGTGCTTGCTTTGCAGGATTCGGCCCCAGAAACAAGCAGTGGCATCTGGTGATCCTGAGGAACTTTTCAGCCACTGATATAGTTTATATTTGTAAGCAGTGCTGCTTGTAACACAGCTTACGGATCCTAGCATCCCTGCGAGCTAGGGAGGAGAGCCATCTCTTGAGAATGTGGGAGAGAAGACAATTTGTCCTGGCTGGATCCAAGGACCATCTCTTGGTGCATCTGGTCACTCCCTGTGACCAAGCGACAGCCAGAGCTGTACTGTTAACTTAGAGATGGCATTTAGGAGTCAACTGCCCATGACTTTGCTAGAACCACCCAGAAATCAGGTCGGATCTTTTACTCTTTATTGTAATAGTCCAGTATATCCCGTGCTGCCTCATCTCTCTTATCTGAGTGACCTGGAGCTGGTTGGCATCGCTCTCATGCCTGTGCCCTTTGCTTGTCCTCTGCCCTGCTGCAAGCCCAGCCAGAGCGCTTTCATGGTGTGGATCAAGCTGCTCGCTTGACATTCTCCAGGATGGGCCAACAGCATAGTTTCCTCCTTAAACTGTTTAAAAAAGGGGAGGGGGGGCAAAAAATCACAGAATCACAGAATCGTTTAGGTTGGAAGGGACCTCTGGAGATCAGCTAGTCCAACCTCCCTGCTCAAGCAGGGTCCTCTAGAGCATATTTCCCAGGATCACATCCAGACGGGTTTTGAAAATCTCCAGGGAAGGAGACTCCACTACCTCTCTGGGCAACCTGTTCCAGTGCTCTGTCAACCTTCCAGTGAAGAAGTTTTTTCTCAGGTTCAGATGGAACTTCCTGTGGTTCAGTTTCTGCCCGTTGCCTCTTGTCCTGCTGCTGGGC